TAATTAAATGTTATTGTAAAAAATTTTAGTAACGTGATCACTATTGAAATGTAGATCATTTCACCCTACCCTTAAATGAAATAAAAATGAAATTAGGTCCAGTTGCCTGAAACTTTATATTAAACAAAAATGAAATAAAGCCCAGTCACCCAAAGCTTTAGATCAAATAGAAAAATTTCTTTATTTCAAATATAAAATTAATAGAATAAAAGTCTAGTTGCCCAAGACTCATAACTATACAAAACTATCTTACAAATAAAGATGGTATATAATAAAATAAATTCTGTTATCCAAAATCTTCCTTGGATTAACTTATCAGGAAATTTAAATCATTGGCTTGAGAACAAATACTTCAAATGTTTCAAGCCTTACCTTCTTAAGTTTAAAATCAGTAATTTTATTGTTCGCATCTTTGTTGTATTTTTTGACAACTTGTTTGATAAAAACTTGTTCTAATGCCTTTGAGAACCAGCTTAAAGCATTTTCAGGTAATATTATAAGATGAACTGGTGATTTCATAATTATGAAGGTTATAAAAGTTTTGATATTAATATTATTTAACGGTGTTTTTTGAGTGTATTTCTAAAAGAATAAAGTTAACAGATAAATTTTAAACAAAATTAAAGATTCTAATATTTAAAAATCATTACCAATAAAATATTTGATTCCAAAGCATCATGAGAAGAAGCATTTTCAAATGCATTTTGGTCAAACTTTAATTCCTTAACGTTAAGCATAAGTTAGATAAACTTCCGATTGTGAAGACTATAAATTTTCATATGTACCTTGGTATTATCCGAAAAATTTACTGAAATAAAGGTTATTTGCTCCCTCTTTTTTGTCATCAACATAAAGTTTGGACCACCAGGTGATGAGCATATAGGATAACTTTATCGTGATTAGTTAATCACATGAAATTGAATAACACGTTATGAATAGCCATCGGTGTAATATGTGACAATCAATTAATCAAACTTCATTATATTCATTCATAAACTTAATTCTTTATCATTTTTTCACTTATATAAAATAATGAAGAAAAAAGGCCCACATCTATTTTTTTTTAAATACCAACCATTCCTTTTTATACTGAATATAATATTTAAGGGTCTATAGTTTATTATACTAAAGCTTATTATGATAAAAATCGTTAGAGCTCAGTAATCCCTGTATATATA